TCTTTGAGGTCTTGTGCCGAGAAGCAGTATCAGTGCTTCTTATCATGGACCACAGGAAATACCATAATTTGGCTCTTACAGGTGCTCTCTAAATCATAGTTTCAGCCGTACTCCCAAATTAATGTCTTCTTTATTGGTTGCAAAATTCCCTCGCATAATAACAACGACCCCCTATACATGTATAGCATAAATAATAGTCTTGTATATGAACGAATGTGGACAGGCAAAGGCTGATTGTGTGCATGAAAAACAAAGTTTATTTTTAAAGAAAGGGGCGTCGACCCAGGTCGGGTCTTGAAGAAAACTGCCAACATTGCATGCTAAGGAGGGCGGGGGATGAGGAAGGGGGGGGGGGGGGGGGGGCTTTGTAATGTTCATTATTTAAGAGCACCAGTGGTTTGAATCCATTAAATTTGGCTGTTTGCTGTTTCATACAATTAACGTCAAGTATTGTGGAGTTATGAATATAATTACATATCCACCCCCTGTATGGCCTCCCATCGCAGCAGCTATCCTGTCCTTTTCTTCTGTAATTTCATAGCTCCTCTTCCATTCTGTAACCCTAACCCCAAATCTTAAATTTAAACTCTTTTTAACCTCTCTCCTTTTGTAACCCTACCTCCCTCCTGCTCTCTATGATATCCCTTAATCTCCTTATCCCGTCATTGTCTGCAACATTATCTAATTCCCTTTATCCCAGTTCCTAATAACTACCTTAATCTCTCTAGCTCTCTCTCCCTCCTCATCTCTATCTCCACCCCCTTTCTCTGTAGCTCTCTCTCTCTCTCTCATTATCTGTTCCCCAGCTTCAATGCTCTTACACCCTCTCAATTTCCCTTCTTTCTATCCTCTTCTCACCCCTACTGCCCAACCCCATGTCCCTAATTGGCCTATATCAAATAGAATTGACCAGTTCACAAATGTATTTGATTCAAGGGAAACTGCCCACCTCCACCCCCCCCCCCCCCCCCCCCCCCCCCCCCAATGCTACATGTTCATGAGAGACTGAATCATTCAGTGTATTATATCTAAAAGGCCGGGAGTAGAATCGCAGGTTGATGATGCTGCTATATCTATCAATCCTAAAGCTATGTATGAATTTGGAGACGTGAATTGCTTGAATTTTGTGAAATGGTCTCTACCTAGACACTCTCGTTCAGTTTACACAATCACACTCCACATTGCACAATTTTAATACAATTGTACACAAACTAGACAAACATGTAAAAGTTCAATAATTTAATTATAACAATCCACAAGAGTACACTTGCTCGACATAGTTTCATTTATGTCTCAATTCTGAATCATGATATCAAAGGTAATATGTCTTTCACATTTTAGGTAAAGTAACCCCTGAAAGGAATATGAAAACCATAAAGCAATCAACAGGTTTCCTTTTTCTGTGTAAACTTGAATGAAATGAAATGATTGCACAAACTTCCAAGGAAGGATTTCATATTTTGATAGCAAAGATGTTTCCATACCAGTATTTTCAACACCATGAAGATACAGTGTCTCGAGCCAACTAAGTTGGCAACCAAAAAAAAAAAATCAGGATTAACAATAATAGTACGGTAATAATGATAAAACAGTCAAACCTGCTTTAGTGACCACCTGGATAGAAAGACCGCACCTGTCTACAAAGACCGCATTTTTGTTTCCCCTTGAAAATGGTTTCTCATTGAAACATGTAATAAAGGAACCTGTCTATAAAGACCACTTGTTTCCCTTGGGTGGTCTTTGAAGACAGCTTTCACTGTAATAATAATGGGTTCTTGTATAGCACTCATTTGTATGGTGGCCCTGAAGGGACATCGCGAATAGACTAAATCGTGAAAAATATGCGATAAAATTCACGATATCGTCAATTTTATCGCATATTTTTCACGAAGAAATTCACGAAATTGACGATATCGTGAACTTTATCGTGAACTTTTCACGATGAAATTGACGATATCGTGAATTTTATCGTGAAAAGTTCACGATATAAAGTTCACGATATCGTCAATTTTATCGTGTACTCTATCGTGTACTCTGTGTGATCTATCGTGTACTCTCCTGATGGGCGCTTCGTAAACAAAACCAGCCCTAGCTGGGGGAGACAGAGAGAAGGAAAAAAGGGAAAGGGAAAGAGAAGATAAAAGGAAAGAAAGAATAATAAGAAGAAAAGAGGGAAACGGGGGGGGGGCGAAGGGCTCTTGCCTCCTCCTCACTCCCCCCCCCCCCCTCCCCGCCAAAAAATAAATCAGAGAGAGAGAGAGAAGGGAAAGGGAAAGAGAAGATAAAAGGAAAGAAAGAAGAGGAAGAAGGAAAGAGGGAAACGGGGGAAGGGCGAAGGACTCTTGCCCCCCCTCCCCCCCCCCCGCCAAAAAATAAATCAGAGAGAGAGAGAGAAGGGAAAGGGAAAGGGAAAGAGAAGATAAAAGGAAAGAAAGAAGAGGAAGAAGAATAAAAGAGGGAAACGGGGGCAAAGGGCTTTTGCCTCGTCCCCCCGCCCCCGCCAAAAAATAAATAAGAGAGAGAGAGAGAAGGAAAGGGAAAGAGAAGAAAGAAAGAGAAAAACGAAAAAGAGGGAGAATAGGAAAGAAAGGAAAAGAAAGAAAAGAAAGGAGGCAAGAGCCCTTCGCCCCTGTTTCCCTCTTTTCTTATTCTTTTTCCTCTTCTTTCTTTCCTTTTATATTTTCTTTCCCTCTCCCTTCTCTTTCCCTTTATGGCGGGAGGGGGGAGGGGGAGGTAAGAGCCTTTCGCCCTTCCCCCGTTTCCCTCTTTCCGTCTTCTTCTTCTTTCTTTCCTTTTATAATTTCTTTCCCTTTCCCTTTCCCTTCTCTCTCTCTCTCTCTCTCTCTCTCCTATTTATTTGTTGGCGCGGGAGGGGGGGAGGAGGCAAGAGCCCCTCTTTTCTTCTTATTCTTCCTTTCCTTTTTTATTCTCTTTCCCTTTCCCTTCTCTCTCTCTCTCTCTCTCTCTCTCTCTTATTTATTTTTTGGGCGGGGGGATGCAAGAGCCCTTCGCCCCCGTTTCCCTCTTTTCTTCTTCTTCTTCCTCTTACTTTTTTCCTTTTATCTTCTCTTTCCCTTTCCCTTTCCCTTCTCTCTCTATCTCTTATTTATTTTTTTGGCGGGGGGTGGGGAGGGAGGAGGCAAGAGCCCTCCGCCCTTCCTTAGTTTCCCTCTTTCCTTTTTATTCCTCTTCTTTCTTTCCTTTTATATTTTCTTTCCCTTTCCCTTTCCCTTCTCTCTCTCCTTATTTTTTTTTGGCGGGGGGGGGGGGAGTGAGGAGGAGGCAAGAGCCCTTCGCCCCCCCCCCCCCGTTTCCCTCTTTTCTTCTTCTTATTCTTTCTTTCCTTTTATCTTCTCTTTCCCTTTCCCTTTTTTCCTTCTCTCTGTCTCCCCCAGCTAGGGCTGGTTTTGTTTACGAAGCGCCCGTCAGGAGAGTACACGATAGAGTACACGATAGAGTACACGATAAAATTGGCGATATCGTGAACTTTATATCGTGAACTTTTCACGATAAAATTCACGATATCGTCAATTTCATCGTGAAAAGTTCACGATAAAGTTCACGATATCGTGAATTTCGTGAATTTCTTCGTGAAAAATATGCGATAAAATTGACGATATCGTGAATTTTATCGCATATTTTTCACGATTTAGTCTATTCGCGATGTCCCTTCAGGGCCACCATACATTTGACACTCCTAGACCAACTGCACATAATTGCGGCTACTTTAAAGCTGAATGAGAGCTAAACAGCAGATGTTATCACAGCCATGGACAAGGTACAGCAGATCCCTCGAGAGCGCCAGGGAAGATGAATCAACCCCGGCCCCAGTGTTATTTAGGGTACGCATATTATATGCGTGTCCCCTCCTTTTGAAAACACCCCCTAAGTCAGTTTTTGTGTATGTACTAGCCGAACTTTGGTGCGTGAAAAGTACCCCTTTACCGGACATTTTGGTAACAGTATGCAGTCATTCCGACCCTGGAGTGGTGGGGGGGGGGGATCGAGGGGGGGAATCAACCTGGAGGAAGCTAATGGGAATGCGGAGGGGCCAAGTGCTTCTGATGCGGCCGAGAAGGACATCTCACGAAGAATTATAGGAATTATCCAGCGAAGGGGAAAACTTGCAAGAAGGACACGTTGCGTCTGTTTGCGAAATGCTGCAAATCAAAGGACAATAACAAGCATTTTTGGTAAGAGAAAACCAGGGGAACAAGGAGTGAATAACGTACTTGAGGCCGACAATGAGGACAACTAGGACAAAAGAGAGACGATTCTTGTTGTTTCAATGTGGGAGGTACAGTAAACCATTTCTCTCACTGTGGATCAATCTGAGGTAGATATACATGTAATTGTGGACAGTGGGACGGTATTCTATTCAAGTATCTGGGTTAGGAAGACAGCCAATATAGAGGCAGAGTTCTACGTCATAAAAGGAAAATGGTCAGCATTACTAGGCAGACATGTAGACAGTTATCAAGCTAGGCGTGTCTAAAATAAAAATAGAAGTCAATTTTGTAGATGGTGTACATGAGTACCCAGAAGTAAAGTGACCGACTACAATCTAGAACTACATGTTGACGAGACTGTGACACCTGTAGCTCAACGCATGTACAGAGTACCCTACAGTATGTGACAAAGAGTAGATAAGCTTGCATCATTGAACTATAGATCGAGGAGCCTACATCGTGGGTGAGCCCAGTCATGGTACATGTAGTACCTAAACCTAATGGATATTAACATACATCTCAATAAATCATAAGTACTTCTTAATGTATGACATTGATCTACATTTGCCACACTCCACCCAGGTGAAGTAAATGGGGACCGGTAGTAGGGATTCCTTACTACTGTGAGCACCAAAAGTGGTAGCCTAGCAGAGCCGGGGTAATATTGGAGCACTTTGAGCACCTTGCAGGGTGGATAAATTGGATATGTGCTCTATATAAATATCGAATATTATTATTAATATTAGTTGAGCTGTCAGTGTACTTAAATGTTTGTTGTAGTTGTTCAGTCTGTCCCGGAGGCTCCTCACCCTGAATCTTGTGTCTGAACATGTGAGATGTAAAGCTATGATTCAAGGTGAATGTCAGTCTGTCCAGGAGGCTCCTCACCCTGTACCTTGTGTCTGAACATGTGAGATGTAAAGCTATGATTCAAGGTGAATGTCAGTCTGTCCTGGAGGCTCCTCACCCTGAACCTTGTGTCTGAACATGTGAGATGTAAAGCTATGATTCAAGGTGAATGTCAGTCTGTCCAGGAGGCTCCTCACCCTGTACCTTGTGTCTGAACATGTGAGATGTAAAGCTATGATTCAAGGTGAATGTCAGTCTGTCCTGGAGGCTCCTCACCCTGTACCTTGTGTCTGAACATGTGAGATGTAAAGCTATGATTCAAGGTGAATGTCAGTCTGTCCTGGAGGCTCCTCACCCTGTACCTTGTGTCTGAACATGTGAGATGTAAAGCTATGATTCAAGGTGAATGTCAGTCTGTCCTGGAGGCTCCTCACCCTGAACCTTGTGTCTGAACATGTGAGATGTAAAGCTATGATTCAAGGTGAATGTCAGTCTGTCCAGGAGGCTCCTCACCCTGTACCTTGTGTCTGAACATGTGAGATGTAAAGCTATGATTCAAGGTGAATGTCAGTCTGTCCAGGAGGCTCCTCACCCTGTACCTTGTGTCTGAAGATGTGAGATGTAAAGCTATGATTCAAGGTGAATGTCAGTCTGTCCAGGAGGCTCCTCACCCTGTACCTTGTGTCTGAACATGTGAGATGTAAAGCTATGATTCAAGGTGAATGTCAGTCTGTCCAGGAGGCTCCTCACCCTGTACCTTAATTGTGTCTGAACATGTGAGATGTAAAGCTATGATTCAAGGTGAATGTCTTCAAGCAGATGTGGCATGTGAACGGTCTCTTCTCCTCATGCATACTCTGCATGTGAACCTGTAAACTATGCTTCACGGTGAACCCTTTCCCACACTGCAAGCACACGAAGGGTCGGATGCCCTTGTGGCGTCTCTCATGCTTGGTCAAGCCCCCTTTATCTGAGAACCCTTTGTTGAAGACAGGACAGAAGAAGCGCAAGGGGCGCGTCTGGTGCATCCGTCTCTTGTGCTGGTAGACGGCGTTCTTGACCCGGAAGCCACGTCCGCAGAGGTCACACTTGAAAGGCTTCAGACCGTTGTGTTCTCCTTGATGGTTGTTCAGAGCGGTCTCAGAGGCAAAGGATCGAGCACAGAGGTTACATCGGTACAACCGATGCTGCTCGTGGTTCTTGACGTGATCCAGGAAACGAGCTTCGTTCATGAACATCCTTCCGCAATCTGTGCATTTATAAGTTCCTTTACCTTCATGGACTTCCTTCTCATGCTCATACGCTTTGGTCTTATCAACATATCTCTTGGTGCAGTAGCGACATTTGAAAGGTCTTGGCTTGATGTAATAGTCGGCCGCTTTACCTAACATGTCTTGGGGCTCCTGAGGTTTATTTTTGGCTTTCCTGTTTCGAGACTGCATCGATAATCTTCCACTTTGCATTCTTGTTTTATTGCCTACGTTTGGAATTTCCTCTTCTTCAGGTACAGACGTTCTTTTTTCAATAATAGTATTTAAACTTCCAATAACATTTTTAATATTTTCATCAATATTCTCTGTCTGTTTCTTCGTTCTTTTTCCAATTTCTAGTTTCATCTTGCGGTCTCTCTTTTTAGGTGTGTCTACGACGTCCTTGAACTCTTTGTGTGTCATCTCGTGCTTCAAGCGCTCTAGCTTCTTGGTGAATCGTGTCGAGCATATCCTACAAGAATGATTCCTAACCACCGGTATACCATGCAAATCACGCTCATGTCTGTACAGCGCACCTCTGGTCTTGTACGCCTTGTCGCACTTGGTGCATGCACTTATGAGTCCTGCTGACGTGTCTCGATCGCCATGTGTTTCGTCAGCATGAAAGTATTCCTCTGCTTTTCCCCGCACACCGGACATGTATGCTCTTCTGTGAATTCATGGAACATGGCATGAGCTTCGAGCCTTCCGTCCGAAGGGAAGTTCTTCCTGCAGACGGTACAGACATAGTGCTTAACCAGCTCAACTGTGTCTTCTGTCTCCGTCAGTTTCTCAAAGCCAGGCTGATTACTCTCAACTTCATTCTTGGTTTTCACCTTCCACGTGACGATGGGACATAGTTCTTTGGATTTTTCGGTCTCATGCTCATCTTCTTAGCAGACGGAAGCCTGGTGCTGAATTGGTTGCATTCAAACTCATCATCCTCTGTTGAAAAAAAGAGAAGAAAAAGAAGGATCACAACACTAAAGATACAAATACATTCTACAAAATTTCCCTCCCCCCCCCCATTCCTAAACTTGTTACGTAGGCGGTTTAAAGCCCATCTGTACTAGTTTACGGGAGGGATTAGACCACCCTGCAAGGTCACTGACAGTTGGTTATCTCATCAATTCAGCTCTCAATGAACATAAGAAAAAGAAGATCATGGGGGACCAATGGTCACCGATTAAGCACCGTTTGCTATATAGAAGGCGCAAGTAGCTTTAAGTAGATCGACTGGTAAAAGAGAAATATAATTCCATTGTTCACATGAAAGTACTTTAACTTTCTAAGAAAGTACAAACGCTGGTTGCATTTTGTTAGGGTGTACTTTGACTTGTCTTCCCAAGACAGCTTCAGTTGTCGATTTCTGTGCCTATGTTTATATAACTTTCAACATTCTCAATGGTATCATCATTAGAGTATGTCTATCAATGGGTTCAATACATTTCTTTTGCCTAAAGTCAAAAAAGATTTCTTTTGTTTTCTTTGAGTTCAGCAGTAAATGGGTGTCCCCTACACCAATTTTCGAACATTTAAATGGTAGCTCTGTAATCAAATTCATTTTCATTTTCAATCAATCCTATTACTGTATCATATGCATATTTAATTATGGGAAAAGATGGGGTATTTGACAAACATTCATTGGTGTACAGGGTAAATAGGGTCGCAGAGAGGACACACCCTTGTGGGGTACCAATTGTGATAAGTTCGTCAGAGAGAACACCGTTGACCTTGACATTCTGTGTCTTTTCATGGAGGAAGTCTCGCAGCCACAATAGAGAGGGCTGAACTTTTAGATGTTGAAGTTTCTGTGACAGGGGGTTCATTTCAGAATGTGGACTTACAAGACATATGTCGATGCATATAGTTGTAAAGCGTTTCAAATGCCCAGAGTGCAATAAAAGATTCACACGCAAGAGAGACCTACGGCGCCACCTCAAACATCACGCTGGTCTAAGGCGTTATGACTGCCCACAGTGTAAAAGAGGATATTGGAAAAGAGAATATTTGGTGAAGCATATGGAGGAATACAACCATGGAAAGCGATGGCAGTGTACGACATGTGACAAGTCATACGAGTCTGAAATAGCATTTAAAGTGCATATGAACAGCCACTCTAGGGTCAAGCAGTACGACTGCTCTGTGTGCCATCAGGCATTCATGTATAAGCAGTCTCGCGATAAGCACATGAAGAAACACCAAAAACATCACAAATGTGGCGAGTGTGATGAGGAATTTCTGTATGAAAAGACTCTTGAGAAGCACATGAGGAAACACAGCGGTGAGAAGCCTTTCAAGTGTTCTGAATGTCAGAAGGAATTCATGTTTCAAAACAATCTTCAGAAACACATGGAAGGACACACCGCCCCTAGACCCCACCCATGTCCGAAGTGTGACAGAGGATTCTACTTCAAGAGTAATCTGAACAAGCACGTGAGAAAACACACTGCCCCAAAGCTCTTCCAGTGTTCTTTCTGTAATAAGGGATTCAATTTCAAGCGAGATCTGAGGAGTCATACCAAGTCTGCACACCCCGAGGAAGATGATCTTCAATGTTCTGAGTGTTACGAGTCATTTACTAGCTCTACATCCATGTATACCCACATGAAAACACATTTTGACGAGAGTTCTTATGCGTGTCCCAAGTGTATGAAGAAACATCCCTCTAAATTTGCCCTCTTTGTACACATGAGTAAGCACATTAAGATCGCGCGTCATAAATGCAGGCAATGCAAGAAGATGCTGTCTACCAGGCGTAAACGCGTTGGGAGTAAGCTTCCCACGTGCTCCCAGTGCGAGAAGAGGTACAGAACCAATGGTGAGCTGATCCGACGTGAAAACACACGCAGCAAACAAACAGCCTTCGGAATCGGGTGAGCACGTTCAAGACGTCCTCCCCTAGTAAAACTCAGTAAAATATTGCAAATTGTGTGTATGTCATTTTAAAGCTGAAACCGTAACTGTTATGATCCTTTCATTCTCCTTTTTCTTCTGGTAATCTTCAAAGGGCTTTGCAGCCTATTTTTTGAAAAAATTGTGTGATTATGGAATCCTATGCTAATTATTCAAAATAAATATTAATTAGTGTGACGTACGTGATATTTTCATGTATGAAAAGGCAGATGAAAATAAGAAATGCATGTTGAATGTTATAATTGATCAATTGCAAAATAACTACTCTGCGAAATTTCTTTTGATTACTACAAAAGATTTCTTGATGAGACATTTGTTGGCTGTGTGCGAGACATGTACACCCATTAATAGTATTTCCACCAAGTCTGGTGTCAGCGGATTATGACCTACTACACATGGAAACTGACGACCTTTAAGTTCTTAGTGGATGAAATGTGCTGCCACAGTAGATATAAACTTTAACTAATTTGACTTTAGTAGTAATGTATTTATAATACTTGTTCTTATTATAGTTAGACGTGTACATACATAGCATGCTTACTGCAGAAAAAGTAGTTGCCTGAGAATATATTCTGATTGACAATATAACGTTCTAAGTGATTGTGTTACTAAAATTAAACCTTGCAGATTTATAAGAAGGGATACTGGTGAAAAAAGTTGATAATGTACATGTACAGGTATACATATATTCAACTCTGATTATACAAATTTATACAACCCTTTACAAATTATCATTGAAATTCAACTTTTACTCTTATTCATACTTAATTAAAGTCATTATTTTTCCTACAATTCCAAACCATTTTTATATATCATGTATTATGAATAAATATTCATATTCTGTTTTTAATTAATTTTAGTTCCATATTAAATGACTTACTTATATGTACATACTGTAAGTACACTTTTTATTGATATTTCGTTCATCAAGTAGTATATATTTTCGCTGTATGTATTATTATTTTCAATGTTAACTCACTGGACTGTATGATTTGTTACAGGACCACAATGCAAAACAGCCGTGTGTTGATTATATTATCTTGTTGAAATATGTTAATAGAAATAAATAGATAGTTTAAGAAATAATGATTTGCAGGTGATAAGAATTGAAATAATAATAATTCCTCTTGGCGATGAAACATTTGAAGTCTAGAGGCTGACAAGATATTCATAACAAAAACAGCAATCTTCAATCTTTAATGATTTATTTATTATTATTATTATTTTATTATTATTTTTATGGGGGGGGGGTAGTGGTTTACATTTTATTGCTGGAGCTCTCATTTGAAATTAAGGTTTCATTTCATTTCATTTATTTTGTCCATTGTTCATATTTACATTTACAATCTTGCTTCAGAGTAATTTCACAAAGACAACATCAGGGCCTAAATTAATCCAAGGCCACCAAGGCCATAGCCTTGGATGCCCTTTTGATTGGCCTCAATGCCCCTCTCATTGGCCTTTTAGATTTTTTGTGCCCTTTCCAATTCTTCCTATTTGTGCTGTAATATAGGAATGTGCCCTACAGAAAAGTGGCCTTGCCCTAAAAATATTGAAATTTAAGGCCTGCAACCTATAATTGACAATTGTAAGTACTTAATTTAATACATGTGAATTGTATATTTTTCTTCACAATAAACACATAGTTCATGTTTGTCTGAAATTTGTTCAACCTTGCTTCTGAATTAGTCTCAATGCCCTGTTTTGAGTATACACTTAATATACATGATCATGATGAATATACTTTTTACTTTCTTTCTTCTTCTTCTTCTTCTTCTTCTTTTTCTTCTTCTTCTTCTTTTTCTTCTTCTTCTTCTTCTTCTTCTTCTTCTTCTTCTTCTCTTTCTTTCTCTCTCTCTCTCTCTCTCTCTCTCTTCTTATATACCCTCCCTTTTCTTTTATTCTTCTATTCTCTAATCTGAAGTAGGTATTTTAACTTTTTCTAATTATTCCTTGATATGGTAAAACAGTAGGGGGTACAACAATAAGTAAGTATACTAAAACATCAATTCGTGTAACATGTCTATAAGGTATTTTACCGGTACATAGTTTTCCCATTCTCTACCGTTCTTGTCTTCGTTTAGAACTCTTCTCTCTACTGGATTTCATTAACAACTCTTATGGAAAGTGGAATGAATGAAGTAATTCGGCGACTAGTTCTTGCTTTTACAGATCTCAATCTTTGTCCGCTTCTCGGGTGTATGTACTGGTCATTAAAGGGGTGGGTTGGATCAAACATAATGGATAGGGCCTACTCTTTCCTTACAGACTTCATGTAGGTCAACAGTATGGTTTATTATTTTGCTGGCTTGTTTTACAACCCTTCTCAGCTTTTGTTTGTCTCTTTGCTTTGCATTATCAAATGTGATAGTACTCTGAATGATCGACTGTTAAAAGAGAAACAGAATTCTATTGTTCACATGAAAGTATTTTAATTAACTTTCTAAGAAAATCGAACGCTGGTTGCATTTTGTTAGGGTGTATACTTTGACTTGTCTTCCCAAGACAGCTTATTATCGATTTCTGTGCCTATATATATGTATATATAACTTTCAACATTCTCAATGGTATTATCATTAAAGTATGTCTATCAATGGGTTCAAAACATTTCATTTGCCTAAAGTCAAACAAGATTTCATTTGTTTTCTTTGAGTTCAGCAGTAAATGGGTGTTCTCTACACCAATTTTCGAACATGGAAAAGGTAGCTCTGTAATCAAATTCATTTTCATTTTCAATCAATGATTATCAATCCTATTACTGTATCATCTGCATTTGTACAGGGTAAACAGGGCCGTAGAGAGGACACACCCTTGTGCATGGGGTACCAATTGTTGTGATAAGTTCGTCAGAGAGAACACCGTTGACTTTGACCTTCTGTGTCCTTTCATGGAGGAGGTCTTTGCAGCCACAATAGAGATAGCCTTTGGACAAGGCCTCGCGCGCTGCTTGTCTGCCGAACA